GGCTCTTAGTTGTCTTTCTTTATTAATTTTATTTTAAACATTAAGAATCAAATTATGTTTATTTATTGTTTCACAAACATTGCGTTTATTCATCTAGTCTGTTTGTTAAAGAAATTAAAAATGTATCACATTTATTTGTAAAACTGATTGAGACAATGGCTTAGAGAATTTCTTTTATAACATGTACTTTTTTTTTTCCTGAGACAATCGTGTCTTTGTCAAATTAAAGCTTTATTGTTTCTCTACGTTAGCAGTCGGTTTATGTAATTGGGCTTTAAATAACGATACATTGCGAGTACGAAGAAAATGAAACGAGCGCGCGCGGTGTAATCGGATGTCGCTCACGCAACTGACAAAGTACGGTATGTGGATTCCGTTGCGAGTCGGAATGTTAAACAATATGTCCCGAAGTATCTGATTTCGATTTCTGCGTACGTGGCCTGACAGCGTATGACACGAAACACGTTTATTCTTCTTGTAGACCTCCCGCTCGAATAATTTTTCCCATACCGTTCCCTAATAATAGCCACCAATTAGTGCGAATAGAAAGTAAATGTGTATTATATTATAGAACGAATTTGCACTCGGACCTTAATTGGATTAATAGATAAGTGGATTGTAGACACAAGCTGAGTAAATATTGGAAATACAATGCAATTAGGAATTGTTTGTTTTTCATTATAATATTTTAGGAGTCACGTTGCTTGTTCTTTATCACGATATTCTAAACAATCATGAGCATCTATCTTAAATTCGAAATTCTAATACTGAAAAAACTTACTAAATTTTAATTTAAAAAATATTTGTTTAATTAGTACTAACTTAACATTTACTTATGGTGAATAAATATTTATTAAATAAAAGAAACAATCATCAAATTAATGATTCCTATTTCAAATATATAAATGTTTATATTTGGTAAATATTTAGCTAATATACTATTTAAACAAATATTTATTATATTTAAAATAGTACCAGCAAATATTTACTAATTATAAAGATATATATTTACAAGAACTATTCATTTTATTTAACAATAATTTTTTTATTGAATAAATATTTATTTAATGGTAAGGGCATATAAGAGAGATCAGTTTTGAAAATCATAAAAAGAAATAAATCAAAATATAAAAATATAAAATACACTTAGCTATGCTGTTATTTAATACATTAAGAGTCTTTGATTTCGATTAATGTAATTTAAATATTTATTTACTGTAATTAAATATTTTAGTTGGCGCTATTCAAATAAATATTTGTTAAAATTTATATATATTTTACTCTCAGTATATATATTCGCGATAATCTTCTTCTTGATTGTCGATTTGAGAATCAGCGAAGCATTTAGAAGCGGTCTTTTATACCATATCGAATTTTTCAGAGCAACGTTATCGTTACTGGAAATACGAGCCTACATATGAGAATGAGTCAAATGGACACGCGACGACATACGGCTTTTACGAGCGATCTCTTCTTAGATCGTTAAACGCACGGATATATCACGCGTGTTTGAAGCAATTCGAGTGAAGGCATGCATCGCGCGCAAAAATACCACAGCTAAAGATACGAAGTTTCGTGGGGATGACTCTTTTCTTTCTCTCATCGTCGCGTGCTTTTTGACGTGAACGATTTAGTCTGTCATAATTGTCAGCTGTGTAGCATGTAAAATTATTCTCTAAAAAAATCTTGCGAAAAAAGAATTTCGCGATATAATTCATACGCGATTATGGACGATTCACGAATGCCATTATTGACGAAATTCTTTCAATCGTTTTTCTGCATTGGCTGATATTATGCTTTCTATGTTTTATTGTACCTAACGATTTCGTATATTTTTAAGGCCGTAGTACAGATTCTTGTATAACACATAACACATAAGACGTAAGAAAATCAGTCAGTCAGAATCTTTTATTTCGGGGAAGAAAAGAAATAGAGGACTTTGATTGGTTTATTTTTATATGCATTATATACAAGATTCTGTGGTTCCGTCTGAACGCTGCGTAAGCGCACATAAGCAGGATTGCCACAAAACTAGAAAATCAAGGAAACATGAAGCATTTTACAAAATATTCCGAAAAATTAAAATGCTTGACTTTAAAGAAAATTAATATTAATTACGTATATTTACGCAGTTTTGGAATACTACCAACTTAACAATTAAATGCGAACAGTGTTAGCAACATTAACAGCAATTTACATTGTTACGTTAAATTATTCTCTCAACAAAATACTTTTTACATCAAAACGAAAATATAAAAAATTTTTAAATATCATTGAAAGTATCAGAGAAATGAAATTTTTAGAGGAATTTGTGGCAACGCTGTCCTTCATTTCAGACTCTGATTAATTGATTCGCTTATGCTTTATGCGTTACGTAGCGTTATGCAAAAGTCTGTGGCCTTTAAAGAGGCGCTATGCAAAAATCCTTGTCACGTACGGACTTTTAACAGCAGACGATCGGACCGTAGCGGGAGGACGGAGAGTTTGTGCCTCATTACACGATTTCAGGGACAATTTCCTTAATTCCCTTTCCGCCGCGTGATTCACGGTCTCGGCACGCCCTTGGCCTTACTGCAATTCTGTCCTACTATAACGATGAAAGAGACAAGGAGACAAGAGAGAAACAGAGAGAGAGAGAGAGAGAGAGAGAGAGAGAGAGAGAGAGAGAAAAGACAGGAGCGTACCTCGCGAGGGACTCGCGGGGAGCGGCTTGACGAAAGAAGGAGAAGAGCGAGAAGAGAGGGAAGGATAAATGAAACGCTGAACGCGTGCGCTACGCGTCGACACGGCTACGGTATGCCAAGGTTAAAGCGACTTACGGCAAAGTTTTAACGAGCCGACCCGAACCAGCGGCCGATCGTTGATCGTTGGTCGGAAGCACGCGCGTATGCACGCCTTCGCGAGCGATCGCATGAAATTTCGTATATTCACTGAACAGACAAACGGGAGCGAAAGTGTCGTACTTTCGCGTACCGTTCTGCATACGTATATCTCGCTCCGCATTGTCCCATAAAGCGAAAACGTCAAGCGCGCAGTCCTGCATTATGCAAACGACGTGGACTTGCACTAATCGGACTCGAAATTACCTCGGACATTGATTGTCGATTTAACGCGTGATATGTACAAGTTTTGCGAACATCTGATTATCAATGTTGTAAAGGAGCATCCTAAGGTTAAAGCCTATTCTACAATGTGCTCTTTTGTTTCCTGTTTCTTGTTTTTTACCTTTTGCTTTTTTTCTCCTTTGCAACCGTTTTATCAATAATTTTTTGCTACGTATTTGTTGTTTCTTTTGAAGTTCGTTAACTTTTAATTCGGGCGATTTAAAACAAAAAACCGGATAAAAAGCAAAAAGACAAGATGTAAAAAATAGCAAAAGGCAAGAAACAGGAAATAAAAAGCACATTGTAGAATAGGCTTAAGTCTACAGTTATATATATATATATATAAGTTATCTATATATATATATATAAAATAAAAACGTATGTCGCAATAAACTGTTTATTTTTTAATAATATAGCATCAAGACTTTGCTTGGCTCGTAGCCCTATTTTCATTTAATTTTATAAATTATTTGAGCCTTTTTCTTATATTATTTTTATTTTTTTAACTTTTTTTTGGCTATATCTAAACAAAATTATTTATAAAATCTAATATAGGAACTGTAAAACTATTACGAGTGCAAGCAGGACTGTTAATAAAATTTCCAATTTTTGAAAATGAGGTGCCAACTTACAGAGACGGCATGCCTGGCATTCCTTTCTTTCCGCTGCGACTTAAGAATTCTTTTGGTTGCCAACTTTCTTGCGCGCTCATTGTTATTCGATATATATATTGGATTGGTCCTGAAAAAATGTATTAATTTAGCCTTTTTTTTTCATCATCTTTTCTCGTATTAGCAGAAATTTAATTTTCGCCAATAATCTGATTCTTTATTTTATAATTATGTATTAAGTTTGATAATAGAAGCGAAGGAATGTACGATATCACATCGCAGTTTTGTGCAATAAACATTATAAGAAATATTGAGAATAAAGTATAATATTGAAATAAAATTTTAAAAAATTTGCTAAGAAAGAAAATGAGCTAATCTAAAAAAAATCATGCTTTAAAATATTTTAAATACTTTTATATTGTGATTAAATGCAGAAACAACATAAACAAAGTTGTATATTCTTTTTTACGAAGCACATATTCATATATTTAAAAAAATGTTAACAAAATAATAATGCGAAAGTTTCTCGACAGAATAAAAATATTGCCTAATACACTTAAAAATTATCGCTGCTTGTATCGTTTTTCTAAACTTTATAGCATAAAGATAACAACATAAATACAAACAAACGATTGATACGGTATGATATCCACTCGAGCGTCACTTTTTTTATCACATTTATTTAATCAAGTGTGATATAAGTCGGGAGTTCGGTTAGACGAACTTTTTATGCCCGAGATTATCGATCGATTTAACACCAGTGTAGATTAGTAAATGTGTACGTATTTGCAGACTTCATCCATGAATTCGAAAAAAAATCACTGTGCAATCGATGTGATTTATCAATTTTGAGAAATATAAATTTCGTAAATATTATATATATAAATTTTTCTAGCTATATTCGACAACAAAAATGTTTTTTTTTTATTACATTGCTAAATAAACTAAACTAAAACGATATTTTTTCTAAGTAACTTTTTTCAAAGATAGATCGTTAAAAAGATATATTGAAAAATATACATATATATATTTGTACTATATACACACACACACACACACACACACACACACACACACACACACACACACACAGATCAATAAAATTAATTTCACACCAAACAGACTTTTTTTACTCAGTCATAGGACAGTCATTTTTATTTTTAATCAACTGAATATAAGAAATGTCTGATTTATCAGCTATTTCTTTTCGATATTACGAATTTGTATACTTACAGTGTTGCATATTACGATATTTTAATTCTTTTTTTCTTTTCGTGTGTTATAGATTTACTAAACCACAGACATTCGCGGATTGTATCGGGAACGAGCTTCCCCTCGGCTGGGAGGAGGCCTACGATAAACACGTGGGCGCCTACTACATCAATCATGTCAATCGTAAGTTTTTTTTTATTCCGCTTCTGCTATCTGATCGAGAAAGTGCAGAGAGAACGGCCGGGTACTTACCATACAAGAAGTGATTTTATTCGGAATTTTATGTCACGTATCTGTGCCATAACGTGCGAGCCCGTGGATTTATGCATGCATTTTCTTGTCTTGATTGCGCTCGATACATTCGATTGAAAAAGAGAGAGAGAGAGAGAGAGAGAGAGAGAGAGAGAGAGAGAAAGTGTGCAGAAATAGTGAATGTTTAAAAATAAATAAAAGTGTTACGAGCTTGTATCGAGTTGCGTTTCTTTATTATATCATTTTGAAAATTAAATATTAATTTTATTAAAAATGATATTATGTTGCTTTAATTCAAGTTCAGATACTATTAATAATAATCGCTATATTTAATTTTATTTATCTTTTATTTATTTATTAATATAATATCAATACAATTATATTGGTAATGTTATATACAATATATATTATACGTACATATTATACGCGTATAATGGATTATTAAAATAATATTAAAGGTGATAGCATAACATTCCATTTATCCCTTCCATTTATATTCGTTAAGAAGGTGTCATAAACGCCGATAATTAATAAGACTTATTAAGGTTCTTTGTTTTAAACATGTCATTGGATTTAATATCCACAGAGACAACCCAACTGGAAGATCCAAGGCAAGAATGGCGAGCTATTCAAGAGGCCATGCTTCGCGACTATATGCAGACTGCACATGACGTACTCGAGGTAAGTACAGAAAACAATTGATCATAAATTTTTCGCTTAAATTGCCATTCGTAAAAGCTGAATTGATCCGTTAATTCCAATCCCCTCGATCCCGTCGTGTCGATGAACCTCACTCTGCCGAGATTAAAACGGACGTGAGGTAAGTGAGGGGGAGAAACTGGTGGAATTTCAACGAGGGTCGATGAGGGCGGCAGGAAGTCAGTCCGTGAGAAATCATGTTACTTCCGGTCATTCGGCGTACCCTCCATACCATGAGTACGACGGCATAGATGTAGATTAACACGCGATTAACCGCGTTCGGTTCCCCTGTATATATCCCGGTAGGATGCGCATATTACATGCATATACACGCATTTAGATTAACGTGATGCCATTCGGAAATTGTGGTATATTTTTCTCGTAATCACGTGATTTGCACCTTGTTTTATCGAGAAGAATACTAAACCGAAAGTATTATCGTATAACGAAGATGGGACTGATATTTTTGTGTTTTTCATATTTTATTATATTTTGATATAATTCCTCATTTTTCACATTTTTATCAAAATATTATGTATTCTGTATAGATACGTGTACAGAGTCATCATAAAACTGGAAATCAAAGAAAAGTCGAGGAATTTTACAAAATATTCTGGAAAATTAAAATTCTTGATTTTACAGAAGTTCAATATGCACACATTACATGTAGTTTTGGGATACTATCAACTTAATTAAATGCAAACGTTAGCAATATTATAATAATAGATAATTTACATTGCTACGTTAAATTGTTTTCTCCATAAAATATTTGAGTTTCCAACTCGGGACGAAAATACAAAAAATTTCAAAATATTGAAAGCCAGGGAAAATTATGAAATTTAGTTTGGAAATTAGTGCAGGAGAATTATGGAACTTTGGGATGAAGATTTTTGTTGACAACTCTACATTAGTCTACATACGAACGTTTATATAATCCCATTACTGCATTACTGCGACAATGGAGATTTCTTTAATGATGCATAGTTAAAGGATCGCAGATAGCAGCTAATTCCGAATGTTCGTGAGGGAAAAGAGAGGTACTCTGGTATTTCGTTGTTGACGCCAGTCTGGACCCGCGCCGGAATGTCTTACGTCACGCGCGGCTGCATTACGAATTTTTGATGGAATGTGTACCAGGTGAGAGGGGGAGAGCGAGAGGGGGGGGGGCGGAGAAGAGAAAGGAAGGAGGAGTACCGGCTTTAATCCGAGAGCAAACGAAAGATACGATAATAATATTTATCGGCGGCGGCGCGGCGTCGACGCGGGTTCCGGGCAGGCGGGAAGGAATGTCGATGTACGGTATATTTATTTCGGGCGAAATACTGCGGCCATGATGTCATCGTCGATTTTCGAGAGATTGCCTATGTGGCTGAGGCCGCGCGATTCTAGTTTCGGGATCCCTTGCTTCCAAAAGCCCCTCTCGGCTCTCGCCGTCGCGTCGTCGTCGTCGTCGTCGTCGTCTCGTCGTCTCGTCGTCGACAGCTGCTCTCTCGCCCGCGCCGCGCCGCACCGTGACGTACGCCGTGAAATTCGCATGATCTCGAGAAGAAGGCAGATATTTCAGACGATTGCACAAGAAATACCTACATTTTCCTTTTTGCTTAGATTGTGTGGTTAAAGTAAATTCATTAAAATTGTATACTTTAATTATTTTTCGAGAAATTACAATGTATACGAAAAAAAAAATTTTGATAATATTAACTGACATTTATGACTGAATATATGAATTTATGATAACATATTTATGTAAATATAATTGTCAATATTGTTATGTAATATATCAGTTTTTTTAATAGCAATAAAATTAAAAATTGAAAAAAGGTCAAACTAGATGTTAAATATATATGTAGATAGAAAATTTATATGAATATAAAAATTGAATAAAGTTCTTTTTTGTATTGAAATAAAATAAATAATCTTTCTGTGTGGTATAAAAAAAGAAATGCGTAAATAAGGAAGTGAGCAAAAAAATATAGACTAGGAAATTCGCAGAATCTCTTTTGTAGAAAATATAATAGTTGGATACATTGTAGGAAATACAAGCTGACAAGCAGACAACTTATTATTACTCACAAGCTCTTTTTCTTAGAAAGAATACTTCCTTTTCAAGCGAGAATACCCATTGTTGATAATAATAAAGAAACTGAGATCTTTCAAGAGCACTATATTTGATGTCTAAATCAAAACTCACTGGCAACTGGCAAGACTTTGAGCTAAAAAATTAATGTAATGAATCTATGATTATAATATCAAAGGAAGAGAAAAAAAGCTTGTAACTAAAAACTTCTTAAAAACTAATTTAAGAAGAGAACTTATATAAAAAAAGAATTTAAAAAGAGAGTCTTAATGAAGTTTCTATCAAAAGACTATGAAAAATATAAAAATGACGATTTATTTCACACAAGTCGGCAGGAATGTTGAAATTAGAATTCTATTTTAAACAATATGATACGAATATTAGATAGCTATTTTAAGGTTAGATCTTTCTCAAAATGTTCAAGTATGATGAAATTTTGAGTACTTCCGCATTCAGTGTGTAAACACAAAAACACAGACCAATGTTAATAAATAAATAAGTCTTCATTTCTAACGAAGATTGGTTGAAGGAAAATGTATGGAATATACACGAGCGTACACATACACGCACGCACATATAAATGCAATTGTTTAAGATTTTACAGATTTTCATGGAATTAGGTATATAGATACTATATGAGAATAGATATTATATTAGGTATATACTAAAAGCACCATATAGATTCCAAAAAGCACTGTGTTACTATTAAAATATTTTGATATATAAGAAAGAGAGAAATTAAATCACTACGTTTATATATCTATACCGGATAAGGCATATTTGTCCTCCTAAATTGGGCGAATTTCACGCTGTGCAGCCACGCGGCAAAGTTCTCAGGCTAAACTATTTCTCGCGTTTACGCACACTGCGTCTACCTCTTTTCGTGAAGAAAATTTAGTTTCAGAGGATACAAATTTAATCTTTTATAGATATTGCATGAATAAATAAATTTCTATTTGTATTTACAATAAATAATTTATATTTACAATAAATAATAAATAATTTAATGATTTTTTATAATTTTAATTGAAATTGATTGAAATGGTTTTTATTATTATATTAAAAATTTAGAGATATATTTTTTTTCTTGTATACGCAAAACATCAGCCTGATCTCTTTGATCTAGATGGAGATATTTTTATACCTCTGATATATAAGTGGTATAAAAGAAAGATACTTTTCGAAATTTTTTTTTCTAAGAGACTGTTAGAGACCGTAAAAAATATATTTATAAATTAAAAATTCAAGTCCATTTGCTAAATTATATAAATATAAAATATAAATATGTGAATAAAAAATTGTTTTCTTTTTAAATTCACGTTTTTTATAATTTCATTGTAAAATTTGATATGTATATTCTTTTTACGTAGCATTGTCAGTCTTTTGGATTTTTAAAGTATAGGATTTTAAATATTCATCAAATCTCGCTTTTACAGTTATGAGATTAAGCAATTCGTGACCGCTGATTGTACAATACAATATTCATCATTTAATTTATTCGTGATAATTTATCATTTGCGTCATTGATTCTCTTAACAAATTTATTGAGTTTCTAATATCTAAAAATATATATATCTACTATGTTTCGAGCGCAAACACGTTTACTCGGGTAAACATGTTTACGCGGGAATGGTATAGTGTATCTTCAGCGATGGATACATCCTTTAGCGTCACAAATTAACAAGCAACGCGATATAATCCTCGTGTGTGTATGTATGCGTGGGAAATAAGATATCCAAACCCAGATCGTTGCTAAGAGATAATGTGTAGGTACATCCTTAAAATTCTTGAAATATTCCGAGCAACGTTCCCATCAAAGATATACAATTCCGATACCAATGCAGTTTTTTTTTTAAATATTTCTTAAAACTTATAGATAAAAAAAAACTAAAGGAAAGTTTCCCTTTCAGTTCTATAATAAATAATTTATAAAATGCATTTCTATTATAGCTATTACTATTCAATTTGAAGAACATTTTTATAAATAACTGAAATTTTTCATTGTATTACATAAAATTGTTACAATTTTAGGATGTTGTTATGAAATTTATGTCTTATATTAAGAATAAGGTTCTGATTAAAACAGATCCAACCAGAATGGCATTTTGATGAGGCTAAATTGAATTTTTGATTATCACAACTATTTTCATTTCAAAATGTTGTTCTGTTTGGATCTTTTTATTTATTCAGAACATTTTTCTCTGTGCAGAATTTTATTACTATTTATTTTTTTAACACCAGCTCTAGTAAAGATAATGTTACTTTTAATTAAATACAGATAGTATCCGGTAAAATAAAGAGATAATCTTTATTTTTCATCAATGCATATCTCTACTAATTTAATCTTTTCTGAAAACTTGTGGAAATCACGCTTGGTAGTAGTTTCACGTGAGGAACTCGCGGTTTCCTTCCTTCGCAGCTTCACGCGTACGTACGTATCATACATTGCGTGCGTGCGGTGCGTGCGTGCGTGCGGTGCGTGCGTGCGTGCGTGCGTGCACACTCGCGCGCGAGCGTAACACAGATAGCTGAGGCTTGCATTCCGATGCAAATAGCCCTCTCCGATGCCCGTTCTCTTCTCTCTTTCTCTTATCCGCTCCTCCCGTCTCCTCTCCGGCATCGTGTCGAGACTCTTCGCGCTCGTCCAACGACGGATAAAAGCCGTGGGCCAGTAGCGTCTCATAACGACTCTGTGATGTGTACGATGCTTAGAGAAAAATGTAAAATAATATGCGCTAGAATTCTAATAAATTTCAGGAAATTAGCAGGTGTTATGTAGAGACACCAGATAGGCACTCACTTATGTATAAAAGTTTACTTTGCTGGTAAATGAGCGATCATCGTATAGAGCCATATTGTAAGATACTTTTTACATTTCGTAAGGTAAAAATACAAATGTAAATAA